CAGGTGTTTTTCTGTAATTTGAGTATCCAGTTATGTTTGTCAAGTTTTCAAAACACGACGGTTTTTAGTGATCTCATTACAATAGCATGCCCCATTATCCAGTGTTTCAGACTTTTTAAAAAAAAAATTAAAATCCCCGAAGATTACGTGTGTGCATGTATGTGGGGGGAACGCTCTAACCCACACATAAGCGCTCTCTGACAGGAATGTGTGGGGACAGTTTAGACTTACTGTCGATATCCCCCATAGCATCCGACGCTCATGCCTACCACTTTATACATCGACGTGGGTAGCCTAGTGGTGAAAGCGTTCGCTCGTCACGCCGAAGACCCGGGTTCGATTCTCCACATGGGTACAATGTGTGAAGCCCATTTGTGGTGTCCCCGCCGTGATATTGCTGGAATATTGCAAAAAGCGGCGTAAAACTAAACTCACTCACTTTCATACAATATCCTTTCGAATACATCGAAGTGCGACTGGGTTTGGAAACTTACATTATGTTTTAGATCCTGCCCTTCTTGTTTAAAGACACAGTCCACATATCGAACCTATACGACGTGTCTTGACAACACAAAGTGATGGTTGATGCCATGAGCGACGTCTCGTGTCGTAATCATCAGAGCCGCCGCCGACGTCTCAACATCGGAGCGATCGTAGCTGCCAAGGAAATCGTAACTATCACACTTCCAGCTGTCTTAGCGCTAAGAAGGCTTTGTGAAACCGGACCCAGGGTGCCGTTGTAAAAAGCGATCTTAGCTCTAAGGTGACCGTAACTCCCATACCTTAACATAGACTTAAGGTAGTCTTAGCGCTAAGGTACCCGTGAAGGTCTGGGTTAGAAAGAACCTTCAGTAACCAATCGTAAGAGGCGACTAACGGGATCGGGTGGTCAACATTGTGTTGAATATGAATCCAGCAGGCGTGCAGAATACTTTGTCATCAATATTAGCGTGCAGTTACAGAATATATGATAGTGGCTAGGATGATTACACAATGCCATTTAGAAAGAGGTCAAATGCAACATATGTTATATTTGGGATTACACTTTCTCAGTAAAGTACAAATTCTAGTACAAAAATGGAAGTCGGCTAGGATGGTACGCCATCTGTTCTGTAGATTGAAGAATATTTTAAGAAATTTTAAAAATGTCCATGTTAAGGAAAGTCTTGACAACTGATTTGACCAAACAGTTACAAACGTTATGTTATATTTGGGATCACACTTTCTCAGTCATGTTACAAACGCTAGTGCTTTCAATTACAAACGTTCTCAAGACGCTACTAGAATGAAAAGAGTCGCCGAAACAGTACACACTAATGCCCGTATCAACGACAACGCCATCGACAAGGCATTTCTTGTTATATTTTCACGAATAATTAACATTGGTGTATACTTTCTGTTACCCTGCAATTTATTTAAAATAAAAAAACCTCATAAAGTCCAGCATCTTAACATTTGTTAAGTTAAATGTGTTCTTAACATAATATATAGAGAGACAATAGTCTGTGACGTACTATTAACTCTAATATTTATTTTGTCAGTGATTTTTAGATTGCGTTTTTTCGTCTTTTTTTCCACGTTACTGAAATATATCCTGTTCCTTTAGAGGCCTTTGAAAGACATAGCCCGTATATATTTCAAGCACATCTGTATTTGTACTTGTGACCAGAATAACCTTAAAAGAAAGAACCACGGGGTGATAAATGAAACACTGGAAGAAACTGCAAACATCACAAGTGGAGGTAATGGAACAGTTTGTTCCTCGTGCATCTTCAGAGGATACTATTTCTTGACGGACTGGGTGTGTTTCTAGGGTCGACGTTAAGGTGACCTTGACCCTAACTCGGTTGCTACCAGTAAGACAGGATATGCTCTGTTGTTCCGCGGTCTTGCTCTACGTGAAATGCCCTGTTATTACATGAACATGTTCTGTTGTCTCGCACACATGCTCTGTTGTTTCAATACATGCTGTTGTTTCAATACATGATCTGTTGTTTTGCGGACATGCTCTGTTGTTTCGTGAACATGCTCTGTTGTTTCGCATACATGAGATGTTCTTATTTCGTGGACGTGTTCTGTTGTTTCGTGGACATGTTCTGTCGTCCCGCGGACATGCTCTGTTGTCTCGGGAGACATAAGGTCCAGCATCTTAACATTTGTTAAGTTAAATGTGTTCTTAACATAATATATAGAGAGACAATAGTCTGTGACGTACTATTAACTCTGAGATTTATTTTGTCAGTGATTTTTAGATTGCGTGTTATGTTGTTACGTGGACATGCTCTGTTGTTTCGTGGACATGCTCTGTTGTTTCGCGGACATCCTTTGTTGTCTCGCAGACATGTTCTGTTGTTTCGTGGACATGCTATGTTGTTTCGCATACATCCTCTGTTGTTTCGTGGACATGTGTTGTTTCGATGACGTTATGTTGTTACGTGGACACGTTCTGTTGTTTCGTGGTCATGCTCTGTTGTTTTGCATACATCCTCTGTTGTTTCGTGGACATGTTGTGTTGTTACGTTGACGTTATATGCTATTACCTGGACATGCTCTGTTGTTTCGTGGGCATGTTATGTTGTTTCGCGGACATCCTCTGTTGTTTCGCAGACATGTTCTGTTGTTTCGTGGACATGCTCTGTTGTTTCGTGGACATGCTCTGTTGTTTCGTGGACATGCTCTGTTGTTTCGCGGACATCCTTTGTTGTTTCGCAGACATGTTCTGTTGTTTCGTGGACATGCTATGTTGTTTCGTGGACATCCTTTGTTGTCTCGCAGACATGTTCTGTTGTTTCGTGGACATGCTATGTTGTTTCGTGGACATGTGTTGTTTCGATGACGTTATGTAGTTACGTGGACACGTTCTGTTGTTTCGTGGTCATGCTCTGTTGTTTTGCATACATCCTCTGTTGTTTCGTGGACATGTTGTGTTGTTACGTTGACGTTATGCTATTACCTGGACATGCTCTGTTGTTTCGTGGGCATGTTATTTTGTTTTGCGGACATGCTCTGCTTTTTCGCGGACATGTTCTGTGGTTTCGTGGACATGGTTTGTTGTTTCGCGGACATGTTCTGTGGTTTCGTGGACATGGTTTGTTGTTTCGCGGACATGTTCTGTGGTTTCGTGGACATGGTTTGTTGTGGACATGTTCTGTTGTTTCGTGGACATGGTTTGTTGTTTCGCGGACATACTCTGTTGTTTCGCGAACGCCAAGTGTCATCCTTCTGAAGCAATCCACGAGTGTGATTATGTTGTTGACTTTCATTTTTATTTTATTATACATTTTCATCGTGAATCTGATTTAGGAAACGCGCGAATCTGAATATAACCTTGGCCAAAGAAGCATTCACTGATGTTTACTGGGGCCTGAAACATAAGGAACTCTTATTCGATGGTGCTGTTTTAGATAATGGGGTCACGTTTTGGACATGAAGTTTGCTGCTCTTCGGCAAGTGTTTCCAGCCTGGTAAGGTTTTCATAACATATTAAGTTTGCGTTGAAATCCTAGAAATGTATATTTCTTTTTGCCCTGCAGCTCCTGAAATCGATTTTTTCTTCTTGAACCTTTTTCACTGTTCCATAGTGACGCGATGCCTTCCGCCAGAGATCAGTACGATAAGGGCAACAGACAGCACATAACTTACTTCGACAGTATCTTATCCGGTGACTTGGCATTTTCTCTTGTGGCTGAGTCTTTCGTGAAAACAGTCTAATTTATCAGGTGAAATCGACATCTGTTTATTTTAATGAGCTAGATACCTTCTATGTCGTGAAATAAATGGAAAACAGCAGGAGTAAGCATGCTGATTAGTATTATCTATCAGTTTTAAAATGTAACATGAACTCACAGTGAAGATTGAAGGTATGTACTTGTGGTTAAGTCTCCTCCAAATCTCGGTGTAATATATCACATTGGATACTCACTGGGTTTTACACTCCTCTTCAACGTGATTTCAGTGCACGCAAAACAACACTGGTGAGTGAGTGAGTGAGTGAGTGAGTGTGAGTGAATGAGTGAATGAGTGAGTGAGTGAGTGAGTGAGTGAGTAAGCCAGAGAGTGAGTCTCCCACAATGAAATTGTTTGGCTGTGTTGAATCTTTGAACATTGTTTTATAAAAATACATAAACCCGCTATGATTTGTTTGTTGTTTGTACGATGTTCTTCAGTTAATACATTATCAAATAACCAGATTATTTATACATACATATGTATAACACAGGTTTAGACACTGGCGCTAGCCCGTAAAGATCTACTCACGATTTTGGAGAGATAATTATCTACCCAGACTGAATTAATTTCCGAGCCATGGCGACGGACTCTCAACATTATTTCAAGAGAAGCAGGCAAACAGCAATTCCGAGTTACGAGTAGGTCGTTTGATAGACTTTTTTCTTTGATAACGGAGGTAGATGCGCCGCGAGAGACGAGCACAATCGATCTGTTATAGAACAGAGTTACATGAAACATTACTGTGAGACCATGAACAATGGGTGACGTCATCAATTTGTGACGTAACAGGGTTATGGACGTATGTGCGAACATGAGTAATATCTGAATAATTGGACACAAATTAATTCACATGAAACAGAGGTGGTAATGTTGAATGAGAATTACTGAAACTATTGCAACAATATATTGGACTCTGTTGGTATTATTAGTCAGATTGTACCACTTGACATATAATGTATTCAGTATCCATGAAAGATGTGTATTGTATTTAACAAATTCAGATGCATTTAATTATTTGTTTTTTAAATGTATATTCACAATTTCCAGACAACAGATCTTCGCCATGACGGTGGCGCCTATCTTAATCAATGACATCTGCATTTGCATATGATGGGTTCAGTTCCAGATTTGCAAGTTTTAACCCAAAGGAAGCATTGAGATAGCCCAGTGGTCACCGTGTTCGCTCGTAGCGCCCAAGATCCGGATATCCAGCTGGGTATAAGCCCTGCCTGTGTGACCCACGTGGTATGTTGTGAAACCTCACTCAATACCGTATTTTCTCGATTAATGATTAAGGGTATAAACTCCTTACATGCTTTATCACCACGTTTAACAAAACATGAAGATCCGGGTTAAAATTGGTCGTAGGAGGCGACTAACATCGTATCCTAATTTCGCAGATCGATGCCCATGTTGTTGATCACTGGATTGCTTGGTCCAGACTCGCTTATTTACAGACCGCCGCCATATAGCTGGAATATTGCTGAGTACGGCGTTAAACAACAAACAAGACGAAAATAACCCTCAAAACAAAAGAAAAACCCACGTTTTACGGAGGCATTATGGTTATTATAATTTCCCACGATGAATTCGCTCAGATTCTGTAGTTGAAAATTTCTCTGAACTATTTTGTGTACGCATACTGAAGTCGAAACAATGCTGTGTGCGGTATGAAACCGCAATATTTTATTTATTTGTCTACCCGACGTTTCATCGAGACCCAGATCTCATTGAATTTAGATACCTCGTACGCAGGCGTTTTATCTTGGCCCAGCGTTTCATTCAGGAAATACGGTATCTATTGAAGCTGTGTGTTTACTCCCAGAACACAAGAGAGGCATAGCTGCAGTGTAAGGCAAGGCGGTTGATGGTGAAAACATCTACTGCACAACATCAAAGGAATAATTTAATACAACAATTTCTTAAGAATTACATGAGTAGCACAGCAACATGAGCCGAGACTCAAAGCGGGTTGATGTAACACTCTTACAGCTAATAGTCGATATCTGATACAACGGTAGCTCATTATGAACAACCACGATGTATGTGATAGATCGAATGTCGTTATACCATCAGTTCATACGTGGCCTCAAACAAATCTCATACTTTACGTTTGTTGCAGATCTCAGTGGCAATTATGATATTGAATACTTTACACTGAACTATCTGGACTACATGTCCATACACTATTAATACTTCACATTTTCTTGAGCACAGGACAACCCAATAAGGATGCCATGGCCAAAATGGATGTTATGACCAGGTAATAAGTTCAGTCAGCTGGAGGGACCACCGGCAGTTCAGACATCTTATGATCTTTAATTCGTTGTGGAGAACCACGTCGTTAAGAGATGTCTGAAACCTATAATGCGGGTTCGAATCTCGGATTAGGTTTCTAGGTCTGTCATCACCAAGCCGAGCTCAGGGGTTTCACCAAGATGGTTTAACTTCGGGTTTAATCGGGTTTAAAGTGTAATCCCAAATATAACATATATATGTTAAACACAACTCAATCATCACTCATTCAGCTGATCTGATTGGATTAAAATATGCCAGCCGAATTTCAGGATTTAGCTGGCCGCCATAAGATAAATAGTTTCCTCCATGGCGAAAACCCCAAGTAACTCCTCTTACAACCAACGTTCTTCTCTATGATAGGACGAGTTTTAGTTCCTTTTTAATGGTTAAAGCTTGTTAAAACTATTAATTCAACTCCTGCTCAGCGCATGTTGTGAGATGTACAGTCTTCACACACTGTTCCGCCTGTACAGCTCGAACAGCGTACCGTTAAGCTTGAAAAGAACATATTAATAATACACGGAGAACCAGGAAGTTCGTGAGCACAAGACGAGACAATAATATACGTTTTACAAATATATTCTAAAGATCCTGCGCAGCATTTTTAATGCAACTACAATGTTGACTCCAAGCTGGAAATTATATAAAACTCTCGGATAATGATAAAATATAAATGTGCTTGAAACGAAGTGAGCTTCTATCTGTAGACTCTGCACACCGCCCTTAACATGGTGCACGTGTAACAGTGACGTCATTACAGAGTGGGAGAATGGATTGCTTGGATACATGTAAACATGTAAACATGGCGGCCGCCGTGATACTATCTGTGAAGACACATATTGAACGTGTAGCTCTGTTGTCGTGACGTCATCTTAACTCGTCCTGACAAGGTTTTGACGATAACTTAATGACACGTGATGCGGTTGACCAGGAAATTGCTCTATTATTGAATTACATGTTTCACGCAATCTTTGTTCTGTAATGGATTACTTGTACTTAAAGTGACGGGGATAACGAGATAATTACACGGTCATTATCTTTATAATGACGTTATAATGACGTTTACGTTTGTTGGTTCCATCGTTTGGGGTAGAACATTTACTGCCTGATACCATGATGAACTAGCCTTACTTAACTATGGTCTGTAGCATGCTTGAGTGCGTGAGTGAATGAATGTTGTTCAATGCCGCAGTCAGTGAGTGAGTGAGTGAGATAGAATTTAACGTCACCTTGGCAATAATTCAGCCATATAGTGACGAGCCGCAGTCAGTAATATTCTAGCTTTTAACCCAGGCAACGAACTGAATACAGAAACCATACCAATGGCTGAAAGACAGAGCAACGGGATATGTCCTTGGGATGACAGAGCCACACGTTGGGGCGAGGGAGTGTGTGCGTGTGTGCGCGTGTGTGTGCGTGTGCGGGTGGGTTTGAGAAGAGATGATCGCCTACTTGCTATCATATTGTTACAAGGCTGAAAACTGTCGCCGAAACTCTACCAGCTCAATGTTTAAACACAGCTAGGACACTCGTATCAAATACATCATTATCGGATAACCGTTTCTTGTTTCATCCATGTTTGATGATGGCTAAACATGGAAGTGGACTTCCTGTTGACTGACAGTTTATCAGTAACGATCGAGACAAAAATACATTGGTGTTACATCTGCATTAAACAGGATCACCCACGCCATGAAAGTTGCAGTAACCTAATAAGGTCAGCTGTGAGAATAGTTCAAATCTGTTTCAGATATTATTGTACATATGAACTTTTTACCTGCAGACATTTTTCTGCCACTGATGTATTAGTCGCCCCAAACTGGGGGATTCCAGTACAAATGTACCGCTAATTGATGATGACTCAGTCATTACTAAAAAAAGGTCCCGATCCACAAAGCGTTCGTAGCGCTACGACATACGTAAGCCTATGGTAAACTATAGAGTTACGACAGGTCGTAACGTTACGAACGCTTCGTGGATCGGGACCCAGGACTCACACACGTATCTGTGTTAACCATTATTCAGCACAATCCACCGCCTTCAACATTTGATGAGAAATTGAATTGTCTGGACCAGACCAAAATATACACAGACTGGCATCATAAAGCTGGGCCCCGTTTCACAAAGCGATCGTAGCGCTAAGATGATCGTAAACCCCATATTTTAACATAGACTTATGATTGTCGTAGCGCTACGATCGTTTTGAGGAACGGGGCTCTGGAATATTGCTAATTGCTACAACAAACAACCACGTAATAGGTGCTGGGAGCAAAACCAACCAAAAATATCCTCGGTCCTGTAAAGTTGCCTACGATACCATTACGACACATCATATGTACTAGAAGTCCGTTTGTCAGGAAAACCAAGCCGCGCTGTAACAGGTTGACCCTGGTCAGTGTCGGGTCACTGTATTCCTGGACTATCTATCAGCAGGATCATTGTGTCCGTCATTATCATGTTCACTTACACGCTTGGCGGCCAAGCTACTTCCTGCCTCCTCTGGGTGTCAGATGGGGTATGATGAATTGGTCCATTACAGAAATACAATGGCTGGGTCTCACTTTCAGAGAATGGAGTGTAGAATCTTGGTGACTGATACACCCAACTACACGGACTTCATATCGTTTTACTGTATGTTGTGTGTGCTATATATGTAGACAGATTTGACCCTGGTGTTGTTTACAGCTGTCATGTGGCTACAGACACTGATATCATTGCTGGTACCGGACCTGAACTGGCTAAACCTGTTGCCAGCGTGTACAGAGATTCCATCAGAGACTCTCCTGTCAGGGTCTGACTGATTACCTGGTTGATTCCACCCGACACTATCATCTGTAAGTCTCTGCACATGACGCACGAGTGGTCCAGATGTATGACGGGTCACGGGTTGTCTCCCCTAGTCATGCCAGAATCCGATGATTCTTATTCAAATCTAGATTCATCAACTTTCGAAACACACGTAGTTTAGTATCGTCTTAAGAAGCTGGAATTACTAACGTCACTCGGCTGTTGGATCTTATATGCAAAAGATATTAGTATTAGACTTTTATATATCTTTGGCTCTCTTGTATGAGGTAAAAATAATTTGACATATTTTGCTTTCATAAGTGGATGTTCAAAATCAGTTGAACATTACATATATCACTTAACACTCCTAGTGTTCTTGACCTTTTGATGATGAAGAATGTATTGCCATTTCAACACTGCAAATGAACATTTAGAATTTTTTTGTCCGATTTAACGTCTTAGCATTTGAAAATGAAGCGAATCCCGTCTGCAGAAACTGGATGATTGATGGATTGTCCTCATCCATGTTAGTGCAGAGGAAGTCAATCTCCTCTCCGGGAGTTGGGCCGAAGCTTATGTTTCTCCTTGCAGTGTAGGTGCTAACTTCTCTATGTTCCTTCACAATATGCTAGCTGTCTCTTGCCTTGCTCCCCACATCCCATGGCCCTGCATGGTATTCGTCTTAAATCTTAAAACGTTCGAATTCGTGGACCTTAATCCTCAGCCATGGCATCCTGTCGAGCAGGATATTGGGAGCCTGATGATGGCGATAAGCCGGCGGACGACCCGTGGGTTGGGGCTCTGCCATCTAGATGTCGATGTGGTGCTGTACACGAGGCCCACTTGGGTTGGGGCCATCGAGGGAAACTTAAACTTAAGTCGGGATATTGCGGTGCTGTTAACACACTCGGTGTCTGATTGAAGAGCAACGCTGTTCTTACAAATCGATATATTTTGTCTGTATGACTAGTTTGCTTTAAACTTAAAAATGTTCGCGTATTTAATGTCAGATGAATATTAACTGTCAGACTAAAGAAAATATAAGCTTATGTTTCGTGGAGACTAAAAATTAATCAAACGCGAAATGGTGAGTCATAAATGTATTTGATAGTTATCATAGACTTCTGTCATCCTTACAACGTTTTAATAACGTTTGTAACTGTTGACAAATGTAGAAGAAAAGGCTCGTTTGCC